AGGTATGCTGTTAAGAAAATCGATTCACTATGTCGGGAGAGACAATTTTTCGCACCAGAATCTATCTTACATATCTATATGTCTACCATTCATCCATGCTTAGAATATGGCTACCACATATGGACCGGTGACCCGGCTATTTACCTTGAGCTCCTTATTAGCCCTGATCTGGTGGCTCGGTTTCTGTCCTATTCCCACTGCCGTAAGGTTGCCTCTCTGTGTCTTTTCTGTAAATACTTTCATGGCACTTGTTCGGATGAGCTCTTCGCTATTGTAAATATGGGGACTAGTTAGTATTTTCATAGAGACAAAGAGATATTATGGTGGCTGTAGTAAGAAAGGTATGTATGAATGTGTTGTTTTGGTGTAAGGAATATTGTTCGTACGATTGGGTCAGTGTTTGCGGCTAGCTAAGTTATAGCTAAGACAGAAGAAGACCATCCTTTCCCCAATCCCCTTTTCGGCCTTGTGCCACATTTCTGTAGAAAACAGAATAAATATCGCTCTTCGCTATGGTACCTAGACTTTATGCGCAGTACTAGATTGGTGTCGAGATCTCATCAAATTACAGTTGAGCTGGCTAGATGTAGCCGTGAGTTCTATGGTAACAGTTTCTTTTCTCGTACTTCTTGCTTGTGGAACACCCTTCTAGCTCCATGCTTTCCAGCCAACTTTAATCTGCCAAAATTTAAATGCAATGTCAATCACTGTCTACTCACTTCCTGATTACTCTTTTCTCTTTCCGCTCATTATAAATGTTGCTTTTCGTAATACTTCCACACTATTTACCTCCTTGTGTTTTAGTATCTTTACTGTCTTATTGTTATAGTGTAACACACCTATTCTATAGTTAATAGACTCTCCCACCTATAATAAGTAGGAGTAGTAGTAGTAACGACTTAGTCGCTCAGTCGCTGAGTCGGTCGGTCAGTCAGTCGATGCCGGACGACCGTTAGTCGGATACTAAAGTATCAGTGACTACAACTAGATTTCTCTGCGTTATACTTATTATATGAAATTCCTAACGTTTTGTACGTCGAACCTATTTTAGGACCGACTTAGTACGAATACAAGCCTCCACTGTGAAATCACTCTACAAGACTTATAAAGGGTGATACCGATTAAAATACACACACATACACACACACACACACACACATATATATATATATGCGAAGTAAATTGTAAATGTATGTATGGACATATATATATATATATATATATATATATATATATATATATAAGTGAATATTGAAGTCAACACCCAGTGGCGAGAGTCTATTTCATGCTCAATGCAATTGGCAGGTGTGACGAATGGTCTGACGATTGCGTTAACTTGACTGTCAACTAGTCTAAGCGAAAGGCAACTTTTTCAGAAGGACAAGTTCTAAAATCCCGGAGAAGACGGCGACAAACTAACGTACTATCTTTCCCAAGAAATCATGGATAAGAATGAAACGAAATCTGTGGAGAGTCGTGATCACCTACGTCCTAAAGTGTCATGACATACACAAAAAAATAAAATAGCATGATAGATTAAACCCTTTAGCCTTAGTTGGCAACCGGTCTAGGAGAACATTCTGAATTCAAAACTGTGAAAAAGGCAACGAGAAGCCAATCAGTTCCCAGATCTTAAAGACGAGGATGTTGCAAAGGGCTATGACCAACTGCAGCTGAAGAACGACCATTTCTAATTTATTTGTTTCGTTAATCTAAGGCTTATAAAATTTGGAATACCTGTAACTTTGCATGCGTCTTGACTTACACATCTGAAACTCTCTCTAGTGGCTTGCGTCTGTTTAGGCATATATGTGTTCACTAAGAGACTTTAGGTAACAGAAATGTGGTTCTATAGCAGGATGTTGAGGATACCATGGGCCGAACATATGAGTAACAGGTTTTCGGAAACAAAAAAGAAACTTATATTTAACATCAGGAAGGGACAGTTGAAATTTCTGGTGCAGGTACCGAGGAAGGAGGGCTTGGAAAATCTGATACTCAGAGGATAAATAGAGGAAATCAGCGCGTGACATACTAGATGAGCTTGAGGAAATGGATGGCAGACTAGGGTTTGGGAGATATGACAAAAAGACAAAACTACAAGGGACAGGAAAATGTGGAGAGCCATGATCGCCTACGCCCTGAAGGAACACGACACATAAAAAAAAGTGCAGGGAACACGAAAGTTGTCGAGAGTGTGTTCAAAACCCAGCAAGTACTAAAATATCGCATTGTGCCAATATCAAACGTAAATATCATATTGCACATCCAATATTGAGATTTTGTTAGGATGAGGAGGGAGCAGTTAAAAATTCAAATTTTAACTGAAAAAAATTAATGATTTTAAAAGTTTTTAATTTATATTGAGTTTAAAGTAAGGCAAAACTTTATGAAATTAAAATAAAATTGTTTACATTCAGTTTAAAATATCTTCAAAATTTTGAATTGAGGAAATCAATTTCATTTCTTCAAAATGCCAAGGAATCATAGTTAAAGTTAGAGGTTTCGTGACATAAGGTTTTGAAGTTCCGCAGAGTTTGTAATTTGAAGAACTCAATTTAAGTAAATGCTCTGTTTATAATAAACAGTATTAACAACATTTACCTAAATATAGTAATTTAACCTAGCAAACCAAAAGCTTCCTCTGTAGCTTAATGGTATAGCACGTGAGGCTCTATGACGGTTGCGTGTAGAATACAGTTTTGATTCCTGTCGGAGGACATATATTTTCTTTGAGATTTCTCGGACATTCAGGCTGGTAAATGTTGTTAATACTGTTTATTACAAACATAGAATTTACTTAAATATTTGTCTCTATAAAAATAACATATAAACAAAAAATATATCAAAATAATTGTCGAACTTAATCCATAATATATATATATATATATATATATATATATATATATATATATATATATATATATATATATATATGAAATGGATTAGATTCAAAATTTTAATATCTTTTTGTTTATACGTGATTTTTATAGATACAAATATTTAAATATATATATATATATATATATATATATATATATATAATGAAAAACAGACCACTTTAAGGTACCATTACAATAATTTATTTCACCAGAGTCACCAAGGACGCCGGATCATCAGGTATATATATATATATATATATATATATATATATATATATATATATATATATATATATAAGAGGTTATAGTAGTTCCACCGAGAGAAAAGTGTGTATATTAAAAGAAGAGAGAAACCACAAACGTTTTTTTTTGGTTGTAGTGTGAATTTTAAAAAAATATTATGCTTTATTTTCTATGATTTTGCTACACGTGTTTCCGGTCTCGCGACCGTCATCAGGCAAAGGGTGGAGATTTCCACATATTATTAAAAATAATTCATTTTTTCCTTTATGTTTTTCGATGTTAAATATTCTCGATATGAAACATTTTCTTTTTTGTGTTAGTGATCCAAACGTCTTTCTTGAACTGGCAGGGAAAATTTCTGCGTGAAGGGTTATAAAACAATTAAGATTAGTTCGAGAAATGATGGAGTAGTTATCGGCATGCTTATCTTTTAATGACCCCTGTGTGTTCTTAGATCTATTTCTATTTTCGTGTGCTTTTGTCAGCATGCGCGTATATATGTGTATATCCCCTCTCCATACATACACACTGTCTCATTACGAGGAATCAGTGAACATATCTGTCCACCCACAATTTAAAAAAATTGAATTCGCCATTTATGCACTAATCTATTACTAACAAAGCACAAGCTTAAGTATACACATATCCTCGTATGCTCTTGTGTGTACATATGTATGCCTATATACGCGCACCAATAGATGTATACATATGCGTATAATTATGGTGTTAGGTGTGGGATTGTCATGAAAATAAAAGTTGATTAACGGAGCACTAGAGAACAGATACTTAGACGTCAGACAAATAAAATATCCAAGTCAGAACCGGAAAATAAACAAAATGAACGGCAACGTGTCGACGCCAGAGCCGTTCCTATTTGACCAGCTCGAACAGTGGCCAAAATGGATAAGAAGATTCACTCGCTACAAAACCGTACCGGGCCTCGAAGAAAACCCGGGAGGGTCCAAGTAGACAAAAATTACATACACAATAGGCGATAAAGCTGAGGATATCCTAGCTACCTTTAAACTATCACTGGAAGACTCGGAAAACTTCGACATATTCAAACAGAGACTTAACCACCACTTCATAGCCAGTACTTTATGAACGAGCGATGTTCAATAACCGCTGCTAAACAAGAAGGTGAGTCCATAAATGCTTTTGTGACTGACCTACACGTGTTAGCAAAAACATGCGATTTTAAGGGGCTTGAAGACGATTTTATACGTAGGGATGGCCTACAAAAAAACAAGTTCGAATGCACATCAAGCCATATTGGGCCCATCGAAGAGAAATTACCTGGAAGGAAGGCTTACTAATGTATGAGACACGGATTATTGTCCCCCAGTCGATGAGGCCAGAAATAATTGACAAGATCCACTCAGTTCACCAAGGCATTGAAAGATGCCGGCAACGAGCCCGTCAATCAACCTGATGGCAAGCCAACCAAATAAAAAAACAAGGTATAGAACTGTGAAACCTGTGCCAGGCTGAGACACCAATCAGCCGAACCGTTAATGGTAACTAAACTCCGATCCAGACCCTGGCACACCCTGGATTCTGTTTGAACTAAATAACCAGACCTACTTGGCGGTGGTCGACTACTACTCTAAATATATAGAGTTCACCCAACTAAGTTCAATTACCCCAAAAGAGGTAATAGAAAACCTAAAACAAATATTTGCCAGACATGGAATACCAGTGACCCTGAGAATAAATCCAGGGAGCCAATAAATGGCTAAAGAATTTGCTAATTCCGCAAGAAATTGGAGTTTTCAACACATCACAAATAGCCCTAGATTTTCTCAAAGCAACGGAGCAGCGGAAGCAGCAGTAAAAATTATAAAGAACATACTGAGGAAAGCAAGGAACCCATAAATGTCCTTGCTAGCCCATGTAACTACCCCAGTGGACTGTGGGTACTCTCCCAGCGAACTGATAATGGGGAGGAGATTAAGAACCAATATCCCAATACATCCGAAGCTACTGGCGCTCATTCGAAATAGGGATGAACACAAGAAGGCTCAAAATCAGCACACATACAACCACAAACACGAAGACCACTTTAATCTGGAAGCAGAGTGTGGATTTAGAAGCCCAAACACTCCTAGCCAGGAATGGGCGATAGTTGGAAACACCTTCACTCCACGATCCTACATTGAGGAAACAGACGACAGCAGGGGATACATCCGACGCAACCGCCGACACATTATACCTCCCCGTCTGAGCAGGGCAATAAAAGCAGAAAACCCAGAAAGAATCCAAACCTCAATGACTCATCAACCAACCCGTCCCCCGAGCCACGTAACAATCAGGGCTGGACAAGTATCGAGACCACCCACAAGACTGGACAATTAAAATGAACAAAGTCATCGTCTAAGAAGGGGATATGCTATGGTATCTATCTATCTATCTATCTATCTATCTATCTATCTATCTATCTATCTATCTAATCTGGACGGAGTGTTTCCCCTTTCAACGGGATCTGAATAAAGAAGGCATTCGCCATTTTGATATTTAAACGAAACAGACGTTCTTCATTTACGAACACAACACATATAACCCGAATTTAACGTCATAAGATTAATATCCAGGTTTAATTTTATAAAGTCTCTTCCTTTTAAGGCTAATACCACCCTCCCCTGACAACTGTCTCGTGCCTTTCGTCTGACTGAAACACTGAAATGGATAAATTCTGTATTAGTTTTTCGACGTTATATTTTATTTTATTTATTTATTTATTTATTTATTTATTGTAGCTGTCACAGTTAAATTTCTAATTCCGACACGAACTTAGTCTATACCGGGTTTGAATAAAACTGACGAATTTCGTCGGTTGAAATAAGCCTATTCCCCATATGAGGTAATTTTGGATTTTATTGGTTACTAACTATATATATATATATATATATATATATATATATATATATATATATATATATATATATATAGTAAAGGTAATAAATCGGTTGGTAAATAATCCAAATGGATCTTAGTCATAGAAAATATTATAACTGATTCGCAAAGAAAAAAAAAGAGTTCAATGTATTTATTATTACGCAACAAATAAATTAGTACATAAAAAATCAAAAATTACGTCAAAATAGATTTTTTATCTCCTAATATATATATATATATATACAAGGATAGGATTGGTGTATACGGAATAGATTGCAATAACCAACAAATACTATTCTTAAAAGAGTGCTCAATACAGAGTAGAGCAAATATAATTATTTATTTGAAAATTATAACATAAATATGTTATAAAATCACTATTATTTATTCGAAAATTATATAGTGATTTTATAACATATTTATGTTATAATTTTCGAATAAATGATTATATGTATATATATATATATATATATATATATATATATTGTACAAAAAATAATAATATCAATTATTTAGATAAAAACGTAAATAAACGAAATAAACTTCTCTTGCAAAAAAAATTAAATGCTCATGAAAAAAATTTATAAATAAATAAAAATAGGTCAGATATCTAGAGCCGGATCAAAACGAGGCTAAAAAAAAAAAAAATGTGTAAAATGATTACGGTGTACATCCATGCAGACGGGCGCACATGAGCGCACGGGCAAGATCTGGAGTCAGGATGCTGAATTTTACATCAGTCAGCTAACTGACAAATTTTACTCACATTAATCATATATATATATATATATATATATATATATATATATATAGCTAGAGGCAACCGGGTGTCTAGCTACACGGAGATGAGCTGTGATACAGAGAAATATATATATATATATATATATATATATATATATATATATATATATATATATATATATATATATATATATATATATATATAAAGTGAACATAGAAGCCCTGACGATTGCATCTAGCATGAAATAGGCTGTTGCATCTAAGTGTTGACTTCAATGTTCACTTTTATATTTACACGCGCGCTATCTCTAATATTGAGCACTTTAACCCATAAATATAGCACATCTTAAGACTATATTTCTTCATATATATATATATATATATATATATATGTATATATGTTAGTATACATATATATGTATGTTACATACATACATACATACATATATATATATATATATATATATATATATTTGTGTGTCTGTGTGTCTGTGTGTGTGGTAGCATCAACGTCAACAAAATTAGTTCGATGAAATCCCAAAGGACGAAACGCTTCACACAAAAAAATTTACACTTTTCCACAAATCTTTGCCAAAAAATTGTTCCTGATATATAAAAATTTATATATCGTCATCCAATATATATATATATATATATATATATATATATATATATAGATAGATAGATAGATAGATATATAGATATATACAAAAGTGAACATAGAAGGCCTGACGATTGCATCTAGCATGAAACAGACTGTTGTATCTAAATGTTGACTTCAATGTTCACTTTTATATTTACACGCGCGCTATCTCTAATATTGAGCACTTTATCCCATAAATATAGCACATCTTAAGACTATATTTCTTCATATATATATATATATATATATATATATATATATATATATATATGTTAGTATACATATATATGTATGTTATATATATATATATATATATATATATATATATATATATTTGTGTGTGTCTGTGTGTGTGTGTGTGTGTGTGTGTGTGTGTGTGTCTGTGTGTGTGGTAGCATCAACGTCAACAAAATTAGTTCGATGAAATCCCAAAGGACGAAACGCTTCACAAAAAAAAATTTACACTTTTCCACAAATCTTTCCCAAAAATTGTTCCTGATATATAAAATTTATATATCGTCATCCAATATATATATATATATATATATATATATATATATATATATATATATATATATATAAGAAGAAAGAGAGAGAGAGATGGAGAGTAGTATTTTAAAATCTTATTTTCAATCTTTCCGTTTTTCTTATTTGACTTGTTTACGTTTCAACGCAGTAATCATTTCTGAACAATTGGAGTTCTGTTAACTTTTTCACGCGGCCAACCTGACATGTGCTCCCTTTAAATAACTTCACCTCATCACTATCCTCTTCTTCCCACTCTTTTTTCCGCCTCTTCATCTTCCTTTCTTCTTTTCCTCTCCCTCATTCTTCCCTATTATTATTATTATTATTATTATTACTATATAGTCATTTTTCTAATTCTTGGCGTATTTTCTAGGGCACAACACTCGTCAGTACACGTCCAGTCTATCCTGAGTTATTTTTTCAACATCATGTTATCATTTGAATCAGGAAAGAGAATACTCTTTACTGTACTGGCAATAGTGGAGATGTGCTTAGCATTGGGAAAAGAAAATGTCGAAATAATGTCTATAATATATTCAGCACTGTCTCATAACTGAAGAGGGTCATGAGTAACGTGATGAAAGTACTTCCCGCTCATATTCAGTAATATGGTATGATTGAAAATATGATATGTCTCATATCACTTTACTGACTACGCATGTGTCGCGAAGCACGTGGCCAAGTAGTACACTATATGTTTATGTATCTTTGCCATATGCCTAAGCATCGTTTGTCTTAGGTATGACGATAGCCTACACCCGGCAACAAGGACTCTATCCCTGAGGTTTTGAAGAGCGTGGAACCATCTCTTAATTGTTGTTGCTCCCAGGTCAAGCCTGACTCGGGGGTGGTAGCACCTGTTAAGGTCCCAGCTATTGGCAAATTGTGAACCCTCAAACTAGAGTCAAAACATGAAAATATAAAAATACCTGTCTATATTTCTGAGATAAAGTATTATGTACGCTATTTACATTATTCAGACTATTGTCCTCATCTTTGTTGCCATATTTATTACATCGTTTCGGCCTTTTTAGTATCTGTCTATATTTCTGAGATGAGGTATTATGTACACTATTTACATTATTCGGACTATTGTCCTCATCTTTGTCGCCATATTTATTACATCGTTTCGGCCTTTCAGTATCTGTCTATATTTCTGAGATAAAGTATTATGTACACTATTTACATTATTTGGACAATTGTCCTCATCTTTGTCACCATATTTATTACATCGTTTCGGCCGTTGTACGCTCCGGCCTTCTTCAGGTGGTTGGAATGTCGAACTGAATTCTTTATTTCGTTCACTGGGGTAGACTGTTCTTTTTATAAATTCTGAAACCGTGAAGAAGGCAACGAGAGAGCACTACACTATTTTTTTCCGAAGAACACATGCCAATTCAAAGGTAATAAAAAAAAAGGGACACATCGCACAGTGGATAAAAGCATTGGTTGAATCCAGTGACTAGACCCAAAGAGTTGTGAGCTCAATACCTGGCTACAGCAGAGGTGAACAAAAACTTGGAGAGTTGAGGTAAAAGGGAGATAACTGATATCTGGAAGAGGCATGGCACGTGTAACTGGAACAATCTACCCCAGTGGTCGAAATTAAAGATTTGGGTTCGAAATTTCCATCACCTGAAGAAGGACGGGGCGTACAGCTATCGAAACGTCGTGAATATGGCAACAAAGACGAGGACAACAGTCCGAACAATGTAAATAGTGTAAATAATTACAATACCTCATCTCAGAAATACAGACAATAAAAAAAGTGATCTGTAGGAAATCATGATTGCTCACGTCCCGAAGGGATACGATATTTAATTTTTGGTAATACAAATATACAAAAACATTAAATCGAAAGTATTGGCATATTGATATGTATATGAGTCATTTTTTTATATGAGCCCAATTTTGTTATGCAACGCGTGTATGCCTAATGGCAACACACTTTAAAAACAATCCGAGTTTAATTTGACTCAGTTTTCGCAAGCGATTGTGGTTATTTAACAGTCAAAAGCTCACTTGAAATAAACAAAAAAATTCCTGGTTTATTGACTTTATGAAACTGAAGCAAGACTGAAAATTTAGGAACTCTTCAGTGCAAGGAGGAAGGGATGCTGAAAATAAACACCATTTTACGCAAAAGAGTCCTCGGCCACCCCTTACCAGACTCAGTTTTGTTTCACATCAAAGTCAGCTTATCAACAGTTTCAAATGTTCCGGACATCGTCTGATTCGACAGACTTCGGGAAGTAATTTTCTTCGGGTAAATTTACGAAGTTAGCGAAATGAGACGAATATTAAAAATACTTTGGTAAAAAATATGACTATTCCCCGGTTAATTAATTTTAATATAACAAAAGTTTATAGACAAAATAAAGATAGATATCTTGTTTATCATTGTTCAGAAACTGATTTCAGTCCCCAGCTGTTATACTAATACGTTCTCTTTCTATTAGACTAGACTCAAATTATCAAATAATTTATTCGAAAAGGTATTGTTACATAATGAATAGATGTACAGTAGTTGTACATATAATACTAGTCTTATGCTGTCAAAAAGATTATTTCCTGGCACTTATCAGCTTCTTCCAGATTTACAATTACACAGATTACCGAAACGATCAAATGATTTTAGGTTTA